ACACGCAGGAGTGCAACAACATCTCTTAACCTATATGACATTGATATTCCATTTCACACACTTAACTTTTTTTTTTTTTCAGGAGCAGCTCGATGAAGCAAGATGTGAAATCCCCTTTTTAGAGCTTATTCATGCAGATATCATTATTACATTTTTGGTTGAAAGCAGGCTGTTTTTTGATGGTTTTATAAAAGAATGAGGAAAGCTTTCTAAGTTTAGTTATCCTTTAGCACGAGTCAAATATGTAATGCATTACTCTTTAGCATGGACCTGCTTTATCTGCGTTGCTCTGGTGGGATCTCTCGATGCTTCGGCTCTTATCCTGAACGAGCCGACACACTGCAAACCCAGTACTCTCTCACTTGTTCATTTGTAAAGGAGCAGCGCTGCTATTTTACATTCCTGCACACGGTTAAAGAAAGACGTCCGCATTCAGGCGATGGGTTTTCTTCTCTCTGCCACGACCACAGCGGTTTCCTGAAGATGTACCTGACGCGACAGCAAACCTTTGTGTTCATTCATTTGTTTGAGCCACCATGTAATCATCTGACCTGGGAGGAAGTGACACGCCGCCCGTGGATGTAAATAGGGGTAAGCAGAGGGCAGCGTTTGTGACAGAGAGAAAATCCTTTTTGTGGACTGTAATCATGGCGGAGAAACAATTAGTCACTCAACAGTCACAGTCTGATGGATGGACACGGCGAGAGACGCAATATGGCGCCAGACGTCAACATTAGTCATGAAGGTAAAAAAAAAAAAGTGGATTCAATGGGTTTACAATTTTTTTCAGGTAACAAAAACTGTTTTTTTATGAATCACTGTGAATGGGACTCAACTGTTCTGCTAAGTCTGATGCTTTGAAATACATTTGGTGAAATACAATTGATCAACACACATTAGTGGGCCCGATGCAATATTGAACTTTATTTTCGGAAACACGGGTCCATATACAAAGCAACCAAGACAAATACAAGAAAACTACATTTAAATTAATGAATAAAATTCAATGACACAGCGTGAAAGGCGGGAACATTACGAGTCATAAACATATGGACTGAAGCGTCTTAAGAGTCATAAACATATGCACTGAAGCATCTTAAGAGTCATATACATATGCACTGAAGCATCTTAAGAGTCATAAACATATGCACTGAAGCGTCTTAAGAGTCATAAACATATGCACTGAAGCGTCTTAAGAGTCATAAACATATGGACTGAAGCATCTTAAGAGTCATAAACATATGGACTGAAGCGTCTTAAGAGTCATAAACATATGGACTGAAGCGTCTTAAGACTCATAAACATATGCACTGAAGCGTCTTAATATGCGGGGGTTAATTTGCTTTTATTTGTTTACAGTCTGTGAAAGATTCTCCTTTGATATTTTGGATCTACTTCCAGATCTACTGAACATATTTAGTATTTAATTAGTTTTCTAGGTTTTGATCTGGAACATTAAGTTTGTTGTTGCTTCATAATTTGAGACCAAAATGTTGTGAGTCATTTTTCATGAGATGGAAAGTTTTAAGGAGGGAAGAAGGCAAAACAGAGGAAAACTCTCAGTGTCTCAGTGTGCTGATTATCTCCAGCAGCAGAGTGATGAATAAATCATCATTACAAGTCCAAACAGAGGAATCTCAATCTCTTCATCTCCTTGATGGATTGGAAAGGTCTGACCACACGGAGGACACTGAGGGGACGCAGCAGCTCAGAGAACAAGTGCTGCCTTGTTAGACGCTGCAGCTCGCACCTCGCTGGCGTCCAGCGGCTGGCTGAGCGAGGCGGGATCATATAACGCCGCCTTGGTTTTCTCAGGATTTTTTGTGGTTTGAGCAAAAGTCTTTCCAGGGATTTAAATAATAAAAATAAAAAAATACTCTGTGCCAGCATTTTAAAGAGTTGCTAAATTGTTGTATAATGAAACCTTCAAGTAGAAAAGCGACATTATGAGATTTAACAAAACATGTCGTGGCCAAAATGGAATTTCAATTGTTTTAGCCTGAGAAATAGTTGGGATTGGAAACAGGAGTGTGGGAAAGTCGGCTACAAGCCGCTGAGCAGATAAGGAGACTCTCAGGTCATTTCTAGCACAGACAGTGACAACATACCACTGTTATACTGCACATTAGTCCAGTTTACGGGACTTGAGTTTTATGCTACTTTGTGCTTCTACTTCTACATTTGTAGATAAATACAAAAGGTATGCATCGCTATTGTTCCTTTTGATATTAAGATTTTCCATTCAGAGAACATTTTTAAGGATCATAAAATGCATTAAAAAAACAAACAAGAGGAATCAACAGCTCAAAGATGAATATTTTACTCTTTAGATTTAATGCTCATACACAAAACAACAGTTTCTTGTGTACATTACAACAAATAAATAACACAAAACATGAGACATGAGTAACATCAACACGATTCTACATTTAGTTAAATCTACACACAGCTAGTTTCCTTAATTTCACAAATAAAGAAATGCGCCATTTATACATTTTTAGCATCATGATAGGTTCAATTTAAAAAGATGAATTATGCCACTTTCAACTGATTCCTGTTGCTGCTGCTCACTGATAATTTACTTCAGGGGGCGGAGCCATCGTCACCGTTATGGAGCTGATCACATCCGCACAGGTAAGAGAAGCCCACTGATGGGAGCTTAGGAAAGGTGGTATCCAGTTTCTTCAATAAGTAAAGGATGCGAATCCTTCTTCCACTCTTGTACCTGTGATTGTCATCGAGCTCCTCTGTCGCGCCTCGAGGAATTCTTAACTCCTCATCATGCAGAAAGTTTTCTTTTATTGCTTCCCCAGCTTAAAAGTTGTTCAAATAAATCATATGGTATTTATTATTCTTTATCAACTGGAAGCAAGTGAAATACATTTACAGCCCAAGACACTTCTTGTATTGCGACACCATTCCATCAAATGAATATTCTTCATCGCCACATTTTCACAAAATTCAGGACATATTTGGTCACTTTGGAAACCAGGATCAAATATATAATATAGCAAATACGTTCTTCAGGTACGGGGTTTATTATTATATTAGAATGACATGCTTTTGGATGACATGCTTGTCCCAAACCATTTGCAGTAATCAAACTCTCTTTGGTCAAACCTGAATGTATATCGTGAAATGTCAGCATGCAGCTACATGTTTCCACGGTGAGGATCAGAACAACAGCAGATGATTGAGTTGGACTCCGGCAGGAAGGTGAGTGAAGGAAAATAATGAGACCCAGCGCTCTGCAGGACCGCGTGCCAGTTGGCTTGAGACAATCTGCAGCAGCAAATACCTTTGCAGTTTATGTAAGTGGATCGGTTTATAGTGCACGTGATTCGTTGTTCGGTATCCATGAATGTACGTCTGAACAAAAGTATTTGAAATATTTCATTATGGACCAAAGAAGTGGACCAATATCCACAAAGCTGAGTTAGCAAGGCTAACGGAAATTAAATTAGCTACAATTAGGGTTAATTTGCTAAAATGTTGGACAGAAATCCAGCATTTTAGCACGAACAAAGACGATGGAGCTAAATGAACATCTGCGTTCACTTTATACTGAGGAACATAAAAACAGCCGACTGGCCGTCCAGTCTGTGCACCTGATAAATCAAAGCCAGGCTGCAAATGCTCACACACACACACACACACACACACACACACACACACACACACACACACTCACACTCACACACTCACCATCATAAAGGCCTGCGGGCGGGAATCTCTGCAGCGCGGATACCTCGCTAAACAGAGCGGAGGGCCGGAATAGAGATCCACTGCAGAGATCGGCTCCACTGTGACACCACTCAGGAGGGTGGTGTAAGTCCCACACAGGAACAAACCCCCAGCAGAACAAAGGAGCTGTAGCTCCCCACCAGTGACTGTAAGTCTGCTCCATGAAGTGATAAACTGGTGGCCCCGGAGATGTCTTGTTCTGTTTTTTAATCTTCTATTTTATTCTACTCTTTTAAATCCTATTTGGATGTATTTTTATACTGCCAGATGTTTATTCCCTCCATGTTATTCTTCATGTCTTATGTAGAAGAACCTTGAATGGCTTTGTTGTTGAAACTTGCAAACCAATAAACCTTCTAGTTTGAATGCGTTCTAAAAAAAGAGCGCAAGAGGGACATCTGCTGGCACAGACTGTCCTTGGGTTCACATTCTTGAGTTTTTGTCAATATGACTATATAATGTACATATTTACTTTCCTCTAAATCTGAATCTGAATTTTTTTTATTTACTAACAGTAAAACGATGCCTACACGAGATAGATACAATCTAATGTAATGAAGCGTAGATTGTTATATTTAAAAATACATATGTATTATGGCAGTGCTTCTACTTTTGATATTTAAAGGATATTAATCTTACATTCTTTTACTGAAGTAGGATCTGATTGCAGAACTTTTACTCGTATTAGTAATGAGTAAGTAGTAATGATACTTCTCCCATCAATGACGCAATAAATTCTGTGTACTACTGTGACATTTTTTGGCCAGTGATTCTCAAAATGTTTGATTCAGGTTTTTTTTAGGAGGATAACTATGGTAAGCAACCCAAGTGAGACTTTTTTCAGAGTTATCGTTTTATTCAAAAGAAACGTTCAAACAATAAGAGGAGCGCAGGTGGCTCCGAGGAAAGAGTGGATGCTACAAGCCGTTAATATTGGTTGCGTTAAAATAACGTCAATCTGTTTCATCTGTCATCAAAATGAGAAAAAAAGCTTTTTTTTTTAAATAAACAGTAACAAAGAAATACATCAACGTTACTACCAGTCATTGTGAAACCGGATCAAACCATCAGAGCAAAATGTCTGTTAAAAACAGGTCTCTCTCTCACACACACACACACACACACACACACACACACACACACACACACACACCTTTTTGCTTTACAAAACTGAAACGGATACAGAATGAGCGGCAATAACTATAAGAATGATTCATGTTCTCAAGATGTCAATGAGAAACAATGTTCACAAAATGTCCCTCAAAAGTTCCTTTTTTAATTAGTTTAGTTTAATTTGAGCCTGAAAAACCGTCCAAAACAGGAGGAAGACGCAGCGTGACGACAGATTCGCCCCGTTTCAACAATTAACACAAGTTTCCCCTCAAATTGTTCCTCACGTGGATTATATTACAACATACAAACACTGTTCTGTAGACCTGCTGAACACAGCTGGGTTATTTAAGTAAACGCCTCTTTCTGATTTGAGAACAAATGGACATTAGTAAAACAAAATACAATAGGACATCCCACTGGCTGATTGCGCGACACATCACGGGGAACACAGAATATTCACCAAGCTTTTGTTGCTTTCTGTCAGCCATCGTTCAAGAAAATGGATCTAGAAAAATAAGACAATTACTTCCTATTTTTAAATGTTCCACTAATGGATCAGTAGCAACAAGTTGTGATTTCTGTTGCCACGGTAACCCTTGGTGTGGCCGCACAAACCAGGAGTGAAATCTTGAGGATGATAACGTGGGAGACGTTTTCCTTTTCGTGAAATGTGTGTGTGTGTGCGTGTGTGTGTGTGCGTGAACATTGGTACGTTAGGTTGAATTGTCAGGGTTTGTAAAATAAACATGAATGTACGTAATGAACGTAAAATAAGATGCATACATGAGCTGTGGGGAAAAATGAACAAAATAAGCCTCAAACACAAGCCTGGTACGATAATTCTAAGAGACGTAATAAACATAGATCTTTAAAAAGAAAAAAAAAGGATGCATAGCATAAACAACAAAAGGCAAAATCGAGCTCTACTGCACTTCACACTTAAAGCTCCGCTGGGCCATTTGGAAAGAGGCGTAGGAGTGTTTTTTTTATTCGTTTAGCTTTTTCCAGGTGGAGCTTGCCGCTCAGGCTGAGAGAGTCTAAAGCGCTCCTGTTTAAAAACCAGGGGGGGGGACAGAAGCTCCTCCAACTCCACCGACGCCGCAGTGCTCTTCTCTTTGGGAGTAGAAACTATCAGACTCTCTAGTTGTCCTCTTCATCCTCATCCTCCTCCTCCTCCTCACGTTTCTCCACTACCCTTTTCCTCAGAGCCTTGTCAGAGAATCCCTGTCCTTTGGGTTCTGGGCGGCCCTCTGGGGACCCTCTCCTCCTCCGTCTCCAGACCTCATCCTGGTCCTCGTCGTCTTCCTCGTCTTCATCGTCGTCTTCCTCGCCGTCCGCCTCGTGCTCGTGGTCCTCTTGTTGTTGGATTAACCTCGCCTGCTCCATGGTTTGTTTTTCTGCAGAACAGCATTAAGAACAGTCAGTGGCCGTCACCTGTATTCACGGAATTTATGTAAAACTGTGTTTAGTTGAACTCACTCTGGTAGTAATCGGAGGAGGAGAAGCGTCGTGATGGGAAGGCAAAATCTGCTATGAAGACCAGTAACTGCAGAGACAAAACCACCATAAGCATCATTTCACTGGAAACGCATCACCAGTTTCCCTGTTTCTAAAAGTACTCACCAGACCCAAAGCCAGGCCAGAGAACAGAGTAGCCAAGCCAAAGATAACGTAAGACCCCCAAACAGGAATCCCCAGCTGCTCCGTCATGTAGTTGTGACAACGCTGGAAAATAAAAAGAAATTGCCCGAGACTGGACACTCAACAACGGCAAAAACACAGCAGTAAGTCGCAGAGGTGTTTGTTCATTATGAGGATGAACATCTGTGCAGTAGTTTATTTTGTATCTCACGTACATCATTCAGGTGCTTGACAACAAAATGGGTGTTAATCCGCAGGAGAAAAAAATAATTAAATAGATAAAAAATAAAGTCACGATTCATTTTAACAGCTTTGTTCCCTGGAAGTTTTACTCTTCTTTTAAACAATGTCAGGTGTTGTCTTCTTAAATGTGAGACCAATTACAGGTAATCGTATCTATTAATGTATCTATAAAAGCCAGTCTCATTTCCTCATGCAATTTCACACTGAGCTGCACAACAGTCTTAGAAAGGATTGTGGGTAATTAAATAAACATCGTCCCTCGTACAACAACCTAAATGATGACAGACAGGAGTAAAATCCTCACTTACCCGGATAAACATGGAGAGCTTGAACAAAGCAGACATTGAATTCATTCTGCCCAAAAGAGGAGAAAAAACGACAGCACGTCATTGAACACGGATTTGTCAAAGTGTAACTTCTCTACAAAGCCGAATGGAAAAAATGACTCGCTGGACCAACAAGCTGCGACCAGCTTGTTGGCTGTTTATGGTTCTGTTCTCAAGCAACACAGAACTAACGGAATACTCACAGAAACGAAGATGGACCGAACCAAGAGGAAATCGGCTCCACGGCTTTCCATTTCTGCTCGTCGACGAAGCTGAGGAAGTCCTCCTTGGTGCGAGCTCCCTGGTACTTCCTGAAGACGCCGTCTTTACAGCTGGAACACAGTCAACGACACAAACCATTTAGGAACTTGTTCTGACCCACATCAGCTGAACGAGATGACCGTGAAGGGCCGACGTAACCACCACCACCACCACGTCAAGACTCTTTTTAGTTTGCACTTGTTAATTATCATCATGTCACAACACCCATGTTTAATCATTATAACTAATCGATAGATGACTCAATAGAGACAAGCTTCGCCCATTGAATGAGAATGAGTGATATATATATATATGTATATACATTTTGCTAGCATATATTTCAGAAATGCATTTGTACTCAAGATTTGTACACAAATGACTCCCAAACAACCATATGAAGTTTTGTTAATCGCAATTTGCCATCTGATGACCTAAAAGTACACGAGGCTCCAAACTCAGCTCAACCCACAAGGCCGCTGCACATCCGTGTTTAATACACCACAAGAAGAGGAAGCAAAGAAAACCACACAAGATTACTAAGAACCTACTGGTAGATGGTAGGAAGTGATGTGATGATGAATCGCCCGCTCAGACCTTACAGAGAGGGGAGACAGAGTGAAGTCAGTGCGCAGGAAGGAACCGTTTCACTGAAAACTAAAGTGAGAGCAAATTCAGACCTGGCAGAATTTATGTTTGACAGCAGCTCCACTACCACCAGGAATAAATCATTCAGATCGCTCCAAAGACGTCATTATCAAGGATGTCATTTGCTGCGTTAACCATATATTGGGTCAGCATGTGACCATCTTCGGGTATTTTCCGACAATTCAACAATGAATAGTAACAACTATCCTTTAGTCCCTCAGTAAGTGGGATTATATCGAACACTCGAAGCATACTGGCATTATTTACCTTTAGGACTGTCCCTTATATTATTATACTTCTGGCATAATTGAAGATGCAAAATCAACGAGCAGGACATTGTTGATTTGAGCATGCAAGTGATGGTTTATCTTTAGCAAGTTGGCGGTTTATTAAGTCTGCATCTCTCCCCTGAATCACACCTTTGCATAAAGTTCAGAGCAAAGCCTTTGGATTTATGTCTTGACTCAACCAGAGGTCCACTTTAGAGACTTAGATTAGTCTACTTTCTTATTAGAAACACCTGCTCATATACAGTGGAATGCAAAGCAGCAGGAGAGCATCGCAGGCTAACAGGCTAACAGGCTACATCCGTGTGCCGTTCCCCGCAGAGACGCGTTAGCTCCTTCTGCTTTTGTGTAACCCCGCCGGAGGCCTACTGGAGTGGCAGCTCTGCCTTGTGTTGCATGCAGGTTAGACGTCCGCTGGCAGAGGTCATTGAAGCCTACCGGGCTGTTCCGTCACGTCCACCTTGGCTATGTTCACCCCCATGTCCTCCCCCCAGTCCGCGAACTGCTTCCACACCGGCTGGAGGTGCTGACACGCCGGACACCAGGGTGCGTAGCTGCGGGGAATCAAGAGGCACCAGTAAACAAACGGAGAACAAACTGCACGCTCACTTCGCAGCACCGTATGAGATCAGTTTAGAAGTACACGGTAAAGTGTACCGATGACCCGACTGTGCGCTTTATTACGAGCTCCTTAACGGGCTGGTTGTAAGCTGGTAAACCTAACGGTAACGCTAGCTAAGTAAAGATGGCAGCTGTTAGCTTAACTTAGACGTTTCGCAACGTCCGGGGACTGAAATGAGCTCGATAACATCATCAGATCAGAGAGGGCATCGCGGCTTGAACATGACCGGACACCTGCAACGAGCCCCGTTTCTACCTGCTCAAACCAGCTAACGTTAATGTTAAAGCAACTGACAAGCTAGCTATCCGGTTAGCCATTAGCGTCGAACTGACAATTCAATCATCCACTCCCCGGTCAGGATTTCCTCCCACGTCCCGTCGGTCACTTCTCTGAGGCTGTCCGGTTTTGCCGAGACCGGCGGTGACGTTAAAACGGCCACCAGAAAAAAACCGCATATCCACGAACAGCGTTTTGTTTGCCGTGTCGAAAACCACATCGAGGAGCCCATGTTGCCACTAGCCAGCAGACACGCCGTGTCGGTCCGATCGGTGGGAGGCGACTCCTCCCACTTCCGCTGCGCGCCCTCACGCGCACGCGCGCGCGACGGACGGAGGCCCGTTAGTGACCAACGTTGACCGCAGGGAACGCGCGGACAAATATTTAGAGAGTAAAAAGATTCGCAATGAGCAGTTAACGAGTTGTTAAGTTGGAGTTGCATCTGTTAGCATAAAGGTTTGCAAAGTGACGCTAGCTGATATGAGACGTGCGCATTGACGGGTTTCCTGTTCACAACTAAACAAACACAGCAAAGTAAAGTGACGGACATTGTCAAGTCCATGAAATAAGAAGTAATGTTAGACTTTTTATTCTTATTTATTGTACACGTGTATGACCAGCAGATGGTACTGTCGCTTCTAGAATAGTCCAGAGAGGCCTCGGGCCCCGATGAATGGAAGGAAGCATTATGGAAAATGATAGAAACGTATTCAGGTATTTTTACCTACGTTGCAATACTACACTGTTGATGTACTATTTTACAAGGAAAATGATTAACATTCAAATGTATTCAATATGCATAATCTGATAATATACATTTGGGAAGATGTAACTAGAATTTTTACTCAAAGAAATTGAGCAAATCAATTAATCAATCTGGAAGTAAAGACTTCAAAGCGCTTAGTAATTGGTTTTAACTCCGGAGAAATCCTGATAACAAGCAGTCATCAATGATTTAATCCAAGACGAACCGAATCCTCTTTCACTATCTTCAAAGCTGCATGATCAAAGTGTTTTGCATTCTGCATCTGCACATGCAAAAACCCCACTGAGTGCAGAGTGAAATCCATTTCATTTGACCTAGAGGTGCAGTGCAATCCTATTAAGACCCTACTTTCTAAGTAATGTCAAGCTATATTCCCCTCAGCATTTTTTGTCTCATGTTAACTTAACTGTTAAGATCCATCCATCAATCCAAGCATGTGGATCTTAACCTGTCCTTTGACCCCGTGCTTTACAATTTCTCTGGCTTGTGACCCCATAAAACCTTAAAAAAGCTACTTGCAAACCCTCTCATTAGTTGCAAATGTCTGCTATTTGCATCAGAGATTATTTTTTCCCTTGTTTCATTAATATTAATGTTTACAATCAGCAAATAATCAAAATGAAGAAAACCAGGATCAGAGGTCCTGACCCAGAGGCTGGGAGTCTTTGACCTCAGGGGCATCGCAGTTATCCTGTAAAAAGCCTTTATCTTGAACATAAAAAGGATCTTGAACATGAAAAGGATCTTGAACATAACTGACGGACAAAACTTCAACTGTCTGAAAACCTCAATACTCTTCTTCCTCAGTGGGGTCTCCGGGTATCTCAGGTTCCTTTTTTTATAGAAAAACATTCTGTCTACCTACAAATCTGTTGTTCACTCTCGTATCTTCACTTGCAGGTTGAGAGCTTGATTAGTTTTGGTCCTCACGTTTTCACTCATGGACTTGCATATGTTTGTGTGCACAGCGTGTGTGTGTGTGTGAGAGAGAGAGGGAGGGAGCCTGCGTTTCTCTGCATAAGAAGGTTTCCCTCGGAGTGAATCTGCAGAATGGGAGCGCTTCTTATTGCCGGGGACCTGCAGGCAGATTGCGATGGCAGCCGGTTATCAGTGCACCTCACACTCTAAAAATACCCTGCAGATGACATCCTTTTGTGCCCCTACCATCGCCCCCTTTCTCCAGCCATCAGCTCTGCGCCACTTACAGCGCGGAATGAATCTCCTTCCTGCGCGGCAGTCATCTGCTCTCCTCCTTCAACATAATGTGGCAGCCAGGAAAGTAAGTGGCAGGTTGGCAGTTACGTGTTGTTCTTTCAAACTCCATTGCTGTGCTCAGGCTGCCGCTGCAAGCTGGACAACTGTCACATTGTTTTGTCAATCAGTCGGTCCAACATCTAGGCCCAAAGGGAAAAACAAACATCTCGACCATCTTGATAATTTTCGGAACAGATATTTACAGTTCTGTATTTGATGTGTGAAGATGCTCCCATCAACTAAGAAGCTGTTGAAGATTCTTTCTAATTTTAATTCGCTGATTAAGCTGGCGACGGCCGGCCAGAGTCAGATTGTTGCCATGGTTACTTTTGGGCTACAGTGCCGCCTGTGGCTGGCAGTGACAGACAGAAATGTGTAACTATTTGTTGTTTTTAATCGTTTCTCTTTGAGTGCGAGTTTATACGTTGCTTAAAATTACAATATGCCGGATTCCGATTTATAGAAGATCTTCAAGTGAGTTTAGTATTTAGCCTGGCCCCTAAATATATACTTTTAGAAGGTCCGTTGCAGCTCATCTTGCTGCCATCAATTTCTGTTGTAAGCAGCTTATTGCTTTTGGGCAAAATTGTAGCAACTCATGCAAGAGAGTAAAACTGCTTTTTCCAATGTTAAGATTGTTCTTTCAACCTGAACTTGTAATATGATCAAATATATAACAGTCCAGTTTCAAATCAAGTGAAACAAAAATCACATACAACATCCAGCTGAATCTCTCTCCGAGAAGACAAAAAGGAAGGAGAATGTAGAAACGTCACTAGAGGAAATTCAAAGAAAGATCTTCACTATAGTGGAGAATATAATAATTCCACTTATGACACTGAGTTCCGCTCTGGTGTTTAGCCATGATTAGGATAATGTTGAGATTCACAGTAATTACTGCCAAATAAAATCTATCAGGGCAATCATTGTCGACACACAAAGTATAGCAAGGGTCTTTAGAGCAGCACAAGTAGAGAATAGTGTTGTCTCGCCTCATCGTTGCCACCGCAGGTGTTTTCCATTTGTCCGTTGAGACTTTTCTGATTAAACTGAAGCCAGACTGCTTTAAAACGGAGCAGCGCAGCAGCGTTGTTGTACTCCTGGAACGCAGCAGTGTTGATTCGCCTTTAAAGCAGGCACACAGGCTGGTTCCTCCCAACAACAACAACAACAACAACGGCAAATCCAAAGTTCTATTTTGTGCCGTGAATACACTGAATTACAAATCATTTTGTGTGTGTGTGTGTGTGTGTGTGTGTGTGTGTGTGTGTGTGTGCGGTTGTATGAGCTGCAGGAGAGTAAAGGCACCTGCGGGAAAACGTGGATGTTGAATCATTGACTCTTTTGCAAGTATGATGTGCACATCTTTACTGGGGGGTGGAGGTTCATTTGCAGCACTGTCAACGACACGCCAGAAACTGAACCAAAGTATTCAAGTTGCAGATCGTAAATCCAAAACTATTGTAGGCCTACTATAAAATTCAGTTTGGCTTCATATGAATAAAATGTATCCAACAGCAATGAACATTTCCACTTAAACATGAATCCTCTTTGATTGTTCTAAAGCTGCACGTGATGCATGTGCAGTATGTGAAGACCATCACACAGTCGTACTGCTCTCGGAGGCCGTTAGCATCCACGTGACAGCTGATGGTTATTTCAAGAGTGATGAGTGAGAAGTGGCACAACGTGGGAGTGAGGAGGCAAACTGGGCCTGCACAACACAACACTCTACAGTCACTTTCTCTTTCATTTGCTCCCTGATCGCTCCCTTAGACACACATACTGTAGTGATACTATAGAAAGTAAGAGCGTTTAAATGTAACCACTCTGCTTGTCTCTCTTTATCTCATTGGCTTTCTGTAAAACATACAGCTTCATGTTCTTTTTGTTGATAGGATGATAAGAAGTGATAAGATCAGCCTCATTTCCACCAGCAGCAGGCAGTTGCGGCTGAATGATTCATCTCTATTAAACTCAACATAGTGTTTCTAGCATGCAGAGTGTGGGGGCTTAGGCCCAAGGGGAGTGGACCGTTTGCATACGTTGAACATAGTAACAGGTCTGTAGCACATTACCCATAACATCTTAATAGTGGCCTTAATGGCCAGAAATGGATTCATGCAGCTTCCGATATCATCTTGCACAGATAAAGTTTTGAGCATGTGCTTGTGATGACCAGTTTTCCATTGCTGCATTGCTCTCTGTTGTCTGTTAAATGTCATCGCCATGATGCACCGAGGGCACCGTGAAGAGAAGGTGTTGTGTCAGCAGAACCTGAGTGACGCAGACAAGATGTTTCCCCAACGCGGCGACGAACCGCACCGAAAGCCTGGTGTGGCAACAAGAGCTAAACACCAGCTGTTTCAGGTTCCCCGTCAACATCTGGAGCCACCGGAGCGGTCCTTCGTCACCTGGGAGATTTCACACGTTCGGTCCTGTGTCCTGTCACACAGCAACGCTTTCTCACAATGAGACGCTCCGGAGAGATTCACTGGCATCTGCTCGCACATTACAAGCTTCCGTTTGCCGTCCATCTGCTGCTGTAACGCGTAGCATCATAACACCATTCAGCGCGGATAACTCAATTTGATACAAATTATGTGATAATATGTCTGTGTCACGGTTTGGGTTAATGTCTAGTTTTATTTTGTAGTTTCTTGCCTCTGTTCTCCCTGGGTCATGTCACTTCCTGCCTTGTCCTGTCCTCCTCTGTGATTGTCTGTCGTGTCATGATTGTTTCCACCTGTGTCCAATCACCTGCACCTCCTTAATGTATTCAAGCCGTGTGTCTGTTGTCACTTGTTGCGTCATTGTCTTTCGTCCTGGATGTTCCTCGTTCCTGCCTGCCTTTTTGCCCCCTGTTCGTGTGTGTGTGTGTGTGTGTGTGTGTGTGTGTGTGTGTGTGTGTGTGTGTGTGTGTGTGTGTGTGTGTGTGTGTGTGTGTGTGTGTGTGTGTGTGTTTTTGCTTTTGCTTTTGCCTGTGGGCCTTTTTGTTTTGTTGCCTTTTGGACTATTAAAGTCGTTTTTTTGTTAAAACTCTTTTTTTTGTTTGAGCATTTGAGTCCTGCCTTTTTCCCCACGCAACATCCCCTGACAGTCTGCAGCAACCTTTCACCGTAAAAAATTGAAATTGTTTTCAAATCCTTAAACAGTAAATCCAGATTTAGATTGACGCCTTTAAATAATTTAAGTAAATCTGACTTTACAAGCCTGCAAGATTGTGTTTGTGAACCCTGTGCGTCACATTGAGTGAGCAAAGTGTGAAAGGTGAGCTGAGTGTAAGGATGTAAAAAGTTAATCTAAAATGTTCAGCATGTTATTGCTTTCTACCATCTTTTCTCCCTCTACATTACGCTGCTATGGGTTTTGTCTCCGGTGTAAAATCCAAACTTCAGTAATTGACCTCCTTTATGTCTCATAAAAACTATAAATCA